GAATCGTTTTATAAAACTCTAGGATCGTTTTATAAAACTCGAGGATCGTTTTATAAAACTCGAAGAATCGTTTTATAAAACTCGAGAATCGTTTTATAAAACTCTAGGATCGTTTTATAAAACTCGAGGATCGTTTTATAAAACTCGAAGAATCGTTTTATATAACTCAAAGAATCGTTTTATAAAACTCGAAGAATCCTTTTATAAAACTCGAGGATCGTTTTATAAAACTCGAGGATCGTTTTATAAAACTCGAGGATCGTTTTATAAAACTCGAAGAATCGTTTTATAAGACTCGAGGATCGTTTTATAAAACTAGAGAATCATTTTATAAAACTCGAGAATCGTTTTATAAAACTCGAGAATCGTTTTATAAAACTCGAGAATCATTTTATAAAACTCAAAGAATTGTTTTATAAAACTCGAGAATCGTTTTATAAAACTCGAGAATCATTTTATAAAACTCGAAGAATCGTTTTATAAAACTCGAAGAATCGTTTTATAAAACTCGAAGAATCGTTTTACAAAACTCGAGAATCGTTTTATAAAACTCGAAAAATCATTTTATAAAACTCTAAGAATCGTTTTACAAACCGCGAAAAACCGAAACCGCCGTCAAACGCGAACTAGCCTCGTCCCGGCTAGTTCGCCCAGCGGCGAACTAAGCCAAGCCGGCTTAGTTCGCCGTTTGGCAAACTAACCCCGTCCTGGCTAGTTCGCCGTTGGGCGAACTAGCCTCGTCCCGCAACGGCAAACTAAGCCAAGCCAGCTTAGTTCGCCATTGGGCGAACTAGCCTCGTCCCGACTAGTTCGCCCAACGGCGAACTTAGCCAGCTAGCTTTAGTTCGCCGTTGAGCGAACTAGAAGCTTCCCGGATAATTCACCGGCCGGCGAGCTGGACCGGTCCAGCTCGGTTCGCCGTACGTCAAACCGACCATCCCGAGCCTCGATCTCCCGTATCCCCGTTTCAGTGCTTACGTCCTTTGACACGGTCGTGTTCTGAACCACGGTCGAAATGTCTCCTGTTTCGTCTCGATCCGACCTATCATTCGAGTTTTACGATAAAACCGTAATACTTTGAAAGAACTCGAGGAAATCGTATAAAACGGAAACGGTTAAACGAAACACCGAACATTGCCTAAACTATAGGATTTATCGAGTTTTGTCGTTAAAATCATAAAAACGCGTTTTTAATAAAAACGTCGAGAAAATCGTAAAAAATGGCAACGATAAACCAAGAAACGAACATAGCTAAACTTTACGATTAACTCGGGAAATTTACTAAAAACGGCATTGAATCAGGAAACGATCTCGTATAATGTCGTAAAACGGATTTATCGTAAAACGGCCGAAAAGGTCCTAAAACGCGATAAGAGCCTATCTCGCGATCTTAACGAAATCTAACCCGAAGATACGATAACGTTTTGATGGTTTACTTGCAGAAGGAAGATAAATGTCATGTTTGAAGATAAATGTCAAGTTTGAAGATAGATGGCAAATTTGGAGATAAATAGAAGATTTCCGCGGGAAAAAAAGAAGGATCAAGATAAATGGAAAATTCCCGATAAGTTCGAATTCGGGCGAAATGGAAAGACTAAAACCGCCTAGGAGGGAGTATATAAGCAAGAGGCATAGGGCAGAAGCAGGGAGACGATTTTCAGAGCTTTCACCACCAAATTTAACATTTAGGAATATTTCTGTTTTTTGTTAGCGAGCTGCGTCTCAACTAGGGTTTTCGGTCTTAGACTTCTAGATTTAGGGATTTCGCCGACGGCTCACGCAGCTAAGGCCACTCTCGTTGTAGCAGTTCTTACACAAATTCGGAATAAAAACCTTCTTGCTCTCTATTTCTGTTCATTCATAATTTAATTTTAAGTTCATCGTTTTTCTTAATTCTCGTTGTGCGGTTCTGCAGATAGCCGGGTCCTCTGGAAACTTAGGGTTTACTCAAAGTTTCCTTATTTACGATTTATTGACCGTAGGTGAATTTCGGTTCCCACATGTATATGCTTAAAGAAGCTAATCCTGGTATGCATACTCACTATGAAACCACTAAGGAAGAGAGATTCAAGTATCTTTTTCTCTCGTCTGGGCAATCAGTTAGAGGATTCTGCAATGGCATTCGCAAGGTGATTGTTGTTGATGGAAATTTTCTGAAAAATAAATACAAAGGTGTTCTACTTGTGGCTACAGCTGTAGATGGTAACTCCAATTTGTATCCGATCGCATTTGGAGTTGTTGATTCAGAAAATCATGATTCATGGGAGTGGTTCTTTAGACAATTAAATGTTGTTATCGCTGATAGTAGCGGCTTAGCTTTTGTGTCAGATAGAAATGCGTCAATTGCTAAAGCGCTTGGTAATGTCTACCCTCAATCAAGATATGGAATTTGCATTCATCACTTGTTGACCAATGTCGTTAAGAAATTCAAGACACAGGGGTTGAATATAGGTTCAGTGAGTTTCAAGAACGTTACACGGAAATTGGTTATATGTGTCATGTGATTGGAAGATATCTATAGGAAGCTGATGTGAGAAAATGGGCTCGTTCTGTTTTCCCTAGATCAAGGTATGACATTAGGACCAATAACCCTGCAGAGTCGATAAATTCTGTTATGAGATCACCTCGAGAATTTTCAGTTATTCCTTTGATAGATAGTATAAGAGAAATGATGACCCGGTGGTTCTACGAGCGTCGAATTGTAAGCTCAAAGCAGCTGGATCCTTTAACCGTTAAGGTTGAGAAAAAGATTGATTGGAGAATTGTGAAGGCTAAAGGATTTCAGGTTTACAAGGTTGACAATTTAAGGTCGGTTGTGAAAGGATACACATATAATTGTCATGTTGATTTGGAAAGGAGAACATGCACATGTGGAAAGTACTATATAGGAAAAATACCTTGCCGACACGCCATTCCATAAATTTATGCTCGAGGTATTTAAGTGCAAATAGATGATCTTGGGACCTATTACATGGTCAGTGTTTTGTAGCACATAGACATTACTCTATCACTGTTTTTTTTGACACATGTATGGAAGTACACAGATTTACTGATGGCATATACACCACTGCAACATGGAGAACCGCCTATGCGGAATGCATTAATCCAATAGCAGTTCCAGAGCATGAATGGAATGAGCTGAGGTAAACCTAGAAAAGGTATTACCACCAGAGACAACAAAGAGTGCTGGTAGACTAGTAAAGAGAAGGTATGAAACAGTAGAAGACAAGATAAAATCTTCTCAAGGATCAAAGTAGAATAAAAAGCACAAGTGCAGCCGTTGTGGTACCGCATGACACAAGAGAGGAACATGTGATATTCCTATTTAGTTAATGGTGTGTGGTCGGGATCTCTGTATGGTTGTTGTTTTCTCCTTTTTTCTTATTACACTTTCGGAATTTTATGTTCAACAACCTATTTGACAAAACGATTTGGTGTTTGCAACATTTTGGTTCAAGTTGATGATAATCACCAACAAACATAGCATTACATTTATTTGAAAGAAAAACAGAACAACAATGTGATCATCAACAGACAGTCATGGATAGGTGAGGTACATGAATACCATCACCAAACAACACACAAACAAAGATTTTATGATCCTTAATTCGCTACTGCATTCGATGGTCTTTTCTTGACAACGTGCAGTTGCATCTTCCATATCTCCAATTCTACTCTCATGTTGTTTCAGCAGGATCTCAGAAGCTCTCATTGAATTCTAAAACTGGATATTGCCAATGAGCAACACGTCAACCACTTCCTACAAGTCTTCAATTTCTTCAACAACTGTCTTATTAGTCCATTTGAACAAGTGTGTTTTGTCCTTCACCATGAAATTCAAACATACAATTAGACTATACCGAATTCTGCATTATATGATTAAAGGACTAACTTTCTCAGATCCCATCGGACAACAGGGAAATAATCGACCTGGATTTTTCCATGTTTTCGAAGTGAAAAGAACAGCCCCTTCACCGCATCTGCATCTAGTGGGAATTCCCCGTTGTTTGGGTATGCGATATCTTGATTCGGCCGGAGAATTGATCGAAGACATGATTGACTCTATATCCAAGTTTTCGCCCCCTGGGTTTCTCTCTGTCGTGCAAGAATGAAGAAAAAAAATATTAGGTCAAACAGTCTGACAAAACGCCGTCGTTTCCATATCTAAATAACGTGTACTCTACCTAAGGCAGATCACAAAAATTTACAAAAATACTGAATACAACCTACTCCTAAACGTTTGTACTTTCTCTTTGAATCCTATAAATCTATGTAAATACATGAAGCAAAGCAAAAATACAAATGTACTTAATTAGTGACTGACAAACCTCCCAATGGCATTATCGACTACATCTATGTCATTTTCAGGGTGATAAGGTGTTACATGCTAAGGTTCTTATGTGGGTGTTACATGCTAAGGTTCTTATGTGGGGTTTAATTAGGGTTTGTTTTCACTTAGGGTTTGTTAAAGATTTAGTTAGTGTTAGTTTAGGGTTTGTTTATGGTTATTTTAGGGTTTAATTAGGGTTATTTTAGGGTTTGTTTATGGTTAGTTTAGGGTTTAATTAGGGTTAGTTTAAGGTTTGTTGAGAGTTTTTTTAGGGTTAAGTTAGGGTTAGTTAAAGGTATAGTTCATTGGCGAATCTAGGAATTTTATTTTATGGGGGCATAAATTAAATAAAAGGGAAATAAATGAAACATGAGGAGATTTGAACCATGGTGGAGAGGGAACAAGCTTTTAACAGAAACCAACTATGCTACAAAAAACTTGATAATTTCTATGAAAATAGTTTTATTTCTAGACTTTTGTAGGGGCATTTGACTCCTCCTTCCATAAGGTAGGTTCGCCACTGGTATAGTTAGGGTTAGTTTAGTGTTTATTAGGGTTAGTTTAGGGTTTAGTTAGGGTTTTTGGGCTGATTATTTTGTCACATAAACAAAACAGAGTAGTGTCATCAGCTTAAAAAAACAAACTAAAACTTAAAACCAAACACACATAATCAGTCTTCTACGAGGTCAAATATAATATATGTCTCAAAATTAGAAGGCACATATTGTGTCATCAACTCAATTAAAATGGGATCTTGTGCAGCCTCCCATATATCCAGAGCAATCTTTTGACGACAATCCTGGATGATTTCGTCATCCACTAAACTGAGGTCAAGACCAAGGAGTTGGCATTCCAAATGTTTGAGTGCATATGCCCCGCAATCACATAAAATCTTGTTCAATCTAACCTTCAGAAGTACCTCTACGATATAATACTTTTCCAAGAGTAGATACTTCTTGTTTTCAGGTGGTGCAACAGCCTTTACTATCCTAAGAATCATAACAACAAACTTCTCCACGTATTGCCTATTCCTTCCCTGTAGAGGAAAGTCGAGACGATCAACATCGATATCCCATACTTTATTAGTTTGTCCATGAGATGGAAGTTCTCCTCTTCCTTAGCTAGAAGAATATCGCCTATTACATAGCCTCTTTTGTTACGTGTAAAGCTGAGGTATGCTTTCTCAATTTGAAGGCAACAAATAGGCGGGCATGAAAGCAACACGTTCTGGTGTCCAATGCCTCAAAGAAGTCTTCACTCACCGTATATACATGAACACATCCATTTCCTGAATATTCACGAGGAAAATAAATCAATGTAGTATTGAAAGAAATTCCCATATTCAACCATATATAATTAAGAAAGCAATACCTCATTTCTAAGCCATTTTCAGGACCTATTACTCTTGCAGCTACGGTCATATTAAAGGCTGTAGGACCAATCTTTAAAGTTGTTGGATTCATAGACCATTCAGTGAATCTATCCCATGATTCTTCGTTGAGCAATACAGTGAGGACTGTGAAGAACCATCAGACGGCATCGGTGAGTCACTAAGCTCAAGTTTCCTTTGCCATTTATTCCACTTAGTTGGCGGTGGAGCTTTATTTTCTTGCATTGGTTCAATCTTTATTTTCTGGACTGTACTCATCGGAGTCCACCAATCACATGATTTGTCGTTGTCCTTAGTAGTCTGCGATGGATCAAAACCTGGCACGTTCGAGGCCTGAGAAAGGTCTTCTAGACCTTGGGTATCTATCCCTATGTCCATATCTTCTGCTTCACTCAAATTCTCATCTTGTTAATTGAAGATACACTATTTAAGTATAATAAAAAGTACACAAAGTACGTTAACACAATCATAAGCAAAATTTATCTAGGCATTATCTTACACATAGTTCCATTATCTTGCATACCAAAACAAGTTCACACACTGAATTACATAAGCATTGCATAAATATATTACACACAGACACACAAATCATCTAATAAACAAGCCACAATAACATTTGAGAGAGAGTGGTGAAGACTAGTGTTTTTTTCTCATGCTTACCAAGCGACTGGACCTCCTCGGCGATGACTTCACAGACGTTGTATTTCTATTTTGTCTTGCTAGGCGATGGCTTGGTAGACGTTGTCTTGCTAGTTGAGGGCTTGGTAGGAGATGGCTCGGTAGGAGAAGGCTTGGTAGGAGATGGCTTGGTAGGATATTGCTTGGCAGGAGAAGGCTTGCTAGGAGATTGCTTGGTAGGAGAAGGCTTGGTAGGAGATGGCTTGGTAGGAGAAGACTTATTCGCCGAGGGCTCTACTTCTGCAACATCAATGGTTGCATCCACTGTTGCATCCTTAACAGAACCTTTAAGCTCAGACTGTAGTTTCTCAAATTTTTCACACATCTGTTTCTGTAACCTCTCTTCCATTGCAGAAAAATTCTGCTGAAACAACTGGGCCACAAAGCTCTTCATACCCTCATTAAATCACTACAAGAAAAATGGTTTTATTATCTGTTGGGGTCAAAATCGGTACGACGGAATCAATAGCCAAAATTCCCCGCAAGAATACAAAATGAACAGTTTTATAAAACTCGAGAAATCGTTTTATAAAGCTCGAGAATCGTTTTATAAAGCTCGAGAATCGTTTTATAAAACTCGAGAATCGTTTTGTAAAACTCGAGAAATCGTTTTATAAAACTCGAGAATCGCTNCTGTTGGGGTCAAAATCGGTACGACGGAATCAATAGCCAAAATTCCCCGCAAGAATACAAAATGAACAGTTTTATAAAACTCGAGAAATCGTTTTATAAAGCTCGAGAATCGTTTTATAAAGCTCGAGAATCGTTTTATAAAACTCGAGAATCGTTTTGTAAAACTCGAGAAATCGTTTTATAAAACTCGAGAATCGCTTTATAAAACTCGAGAAATCGTTTTATAAAACTCGAAGAAATCGTTTTATAAAGCTCGAGATCGTTTTATAAAACTCGAGAGATCATTTTATAAAAACTCGAAGATCGTTTTATAAAACTCGAGATCGTTTTATAAAATTCGAGAGATCGTTTTATAAAAACTCGAAGATCGTTTTATAAAACTCGAAGATCGTTTTATAAAACTCAAGAGATCGTTTTATAAAACTCGAGAGATCGTTTTATAAAACTCGAGAGATCGTTTTATAAGAACTCGAAGATCGTTTTATAAAACTCGAAGATCGTTTTATAAAACTCAAGAGATCGTTTTATAAAACTCGAGAGATTGTTTTATAAAACTCGAGAGATCGTTTTATAAGAACTCGAAGATCGTTTTATAAAAACTCGAAGATCGTTTTATAAAACTCGAAGATCGTTTTATAAAACTCAAGAGATCGTTTTATAAAACTCGAGAGATCGTTTTATAAAACTCGAGAGATCGTTTTATAAAAACTCGAAGATCGTTTTATAAAACTCGAGAACTCGTTTTGCAAAACCGCGAAAAAACGAAACCGCCGCAGAACGCGAACTAGTAACGACTAGTTCGCCTGTTGGCAAACTAAGCCGAGCTGGCTTAGATCGCCAGCAGGCGAACTAGAAGGTTCCCAACTAGATCGCCTGCTGGCGATCTAAGCCAGCTTGGCTTAGATCGCCAGCAGGCGATCTAGACAAGCCCGACTAGATCGCCTGCTGGCGATCTAAGCCAGCTCGGCTTAGATCGCCAGCAGGCGATCTACACTCCCTCGACTAGATCGCCTGCTGGCGATCTAAGCCAGCTCGGCTTAGATCGCCAGCAGGCGAACTACTGACTTCGCCCCACAGGTTTTTATCACCTAGTTCGCCAGCAGGCGAACTAGAGACCTCCCGCATCCCCAATTCGACCTTACGACACGGTCGCTTTCTGAACCACGGCCGAAATGTCTCTCGTTTCGTCTCGATCCGACTTACCGTTCGAGTTTTACGATAAAAACCGTAAAACTTCGTTTTCTCGGAAAGAACTCGAGGAAATCGTATAAAACGGCAACGGTTAAACGAAACACCGAACATTGCCTAAACTATAC